GGACCTTTTAAATTTAAGTGAACATTTAAAAAAATAATCTTATTTTTGTGCTATGCCTGAATTTTCTAACAAACTTCTGAAATACAAAAAATAATGAAGTAGTATGTTAGTCAAGTACTAAGAGCAATAACAAAGAGAATAAATCTTCACTAAATGCTAGTTGTTATTGTGGCCTATTATTACTCATTAAACTTGAACCCAGATCATTGTGAACAAGTGATGAGCAATCAACAGTTATCCTTTGAGGGTCTGTACTGACTAGCTCATCCCTACTGGTTCAACTTATGCTTAAAATATTGTCACAAAAATGATAATCCTTTTCTTCTGCTATAACTACCCAGCTTTTAAAATTATTATTCAATAGAGCTTTCTTTTTTCTCGTTTGACAAAGATTTGATTGATATGGAGGTGGCCCAATATTCTATTAGCTAGCCCCCCCCCCCTCCCCGCCTTCCCACACATACATACACAAAGAGTATGGACAGGATATGCTCAGCATTACAAATAAAAGGGGAAATTATTTTTCCTAAATAGGGTTCCCAGGAAACTGGAAGCTGATCCTGTCCTCTTTGCAATATAGACAAAGTAGAGTTATTCAATTAGGAAGATCTCACCAAAAGGAGTCATAATCTTCATTTACTGTCTCAAATATCAACATAAAAATCACCTTTCCAAATTTCTTGAGTTTTCAGAACAGGTTCTATTTAGAAAAGGATTTCAAAACTAACATACTGACATTATTAAGGGTCACCTTGAAACTTAACTGGTTTGCAGTGTTGTCATTTTGTCAATTTACTAAGTAAATCTAAAACATAAGATTTCAAAGCTTTACAAACTAAAGTATGTTCACGTGAAAAAATGTCTTGGAAAATATGTATTTAATACAAATCGTAATGACAGCAAATAGTCATATAGCACTTATTATAAGCAAGGCACTGTTCTACAACATGCTTTCTATATATTAACTCATTTAATCTAATAACCATATCTGTAGGCTGAGGGAAAAGCTATCTGCTTGTCACATGTCCAGGCAGCTGAAAGGAGGCATTTTGGGAAATGTGATCTAGTTCCCAATGGCTGCTTCCAATTTCTACCTCTCATCTAAGAGTGATGATTCAGTTAGACTTCCTGAATTGCATAGTCACCCTGCCATATTCTAAACACTGTTTATACCAATGTGAAGGTATTTTCCAATGCTAACCATGCAGGGCAATATGGCTGCAACCAAGATTAACTGAGTTCCAAGTGTTCCCACACAGGGGGTTGTCCCTGATCTAGTTTCAACATGTACAGTTCCCATCAGGAGGCCAGAGTGGTTCATCATTTGTCCACCAATTTTCAGTCAGAAAAGTAACAGCACTTTGTAAAAGGGAAAATGTAGGTTGAATATTCTTTCTATATTGCTAAACTGAGAAAAAGAAGAACCACCATTTATGCTTCACTTTATGCCAGGCATTGCAGCAGGTGCCTTAAATATTAGTTTTAATTCCTGCAATAACCTGAAAAATAGGTGATATTTTAATGTCAAAGATGAAGAACCTGGTGATCATGAAGATTAATTGAGAATGCATTCAGAGTAGAATGAAAGATGTCCGTTTGTAGAATGTGAAATTGAATAAGAACTTCCTATTTTTGCTCCCAGAGCTTAACAGAGCAGTGGGTGCACAGGAGGACTCAATACTATTTGATCAATGGTGAAACTGATAATCTACCACATACACAACTTTCCTCTTAAGAGTTCTGAAGGGAACCACATGGTAATTCAAATTGATCAAACACTTGCTAGAAGGCATATTTACTCTATTCAAGAATATGCCAGATTTTCCCTGTTTCATTAATAGCCCTAGAAAGGTGCCTAAGTAATGAACATAGCACATTTTCAGAGAAGAAGATATTTGAAGGGGCTGTGGATCAGGGAGATCAGAGAACTCTCATATGTAAATATTCAGGGAGTGCGAAAGACATTAGTGTGCAACCCACCAGTAGAAGTTACCCTGAACATCTTTACAAAAATATCAGCTTTCCTTTGCTTTAGGAGGAGCAAAAGTGCATAGCAGATACAACTCATTTCTGAATAACTCAATATGTAATTTTTCTAAAAAGTCAGTTTTCTAAAACAACCTGCTGATAATCTGAAATGATTTTTAGCTTTAACAAACATTATCCAAAATCTAATAATATCAACAAGTACAGTCTCTGCACATGTTATTTTATACTTGTATTCAAGATAAAATGCAAGCAAAAAAAATATATTTAAGAAAACCAGTACATTAAGAAAAAAAGGCTTGCAGGAGGGGCATTCTATAATAGAACAACATTCATATTTGCAGAGCATTAAAGAAAAATACTTGGGAAATATATAAACTAAGAATCTCATAGGAAGATGTCACAGAAAAAGAGCCAATTCTACCAAAAGAGCAAAGTACAGGAATTATGAAAGTTGGGCATACAAAGTCATCGGTAATTGGACAGAACAAGTCAAGTAGAAAAGAGATCTCACTTACAAAATGTAATATAGAAAGAGAAAGCACTCATGGAATATAGTATGGAGACACTTTCAAGAACAGGTAAGGTCACAAGAAAAGTCTAAGGCAAATGATCCCATTGGAGCAACCACATTTGGAGTTTAAGCCTTAAGAGGAACTGATTAATTGAAAATGGGAGAGTACGGGGAGAAAAAATGCGGAGGAAGAGGATGAAAAGTTAAACGAGGCTTGGTACAAGAGTCTTGAAGTAGGTGTCATCAGATAGAGGCAGTAGCTGTTGGTCTTGTATACCTGACAAGAGCCTTTGTTGCAGTAGAACAAATTTTACACAGCAGATCCATGCATGGAGCAAGGCAAACAGGGTTTCTGCTTAATGGAGCTGCCCTACTTGTGGGGGGATGCAAGCTACGCATTCATGAACAGGCAATGCACAGATAAACAAGATCCTTTCACATAGTGTGAAGTGTGATAAAGAAAACAAGAGCAAAAAGATTATCTGGCATATGGCTATTAGCAAGCTGCTTCCCACTTTCCGTTGTGCTAGACTGTTGAACACAACTGACAGAACTCACGTGAATAAAAAGGACAGGAGGATGACAAAAGCATAATCTCTCTTTCTCTCCTCTTCCCCACCCTCCGAAACCCTCAATCCTGGAGAAAGAGACAATAAACGAGTCTATAAGGACCTATAAACAAAAGCTAGAAGGTTTTGATCATGTACCTGTGCTCAAGAAGAAGAAAAAAAATGACAATTTTAAATGCAATTAGGGTTCTCACAATGAAGTTTACTAGATACCCAAGGTGAGGACTCCATATAAGAGGTTGATAGACTCTACTCACTTGGCAAAAAGAGTCAGGACAGAGGAAGGAAATGCAGCAAGTAGTGTAATTAGTAGGAATTTGAACTGTTTTCAGTGCTTTATTAATACAGTGGAACATGCTGAAAAAATGGATTGCTCTCTAGAAAATGTGAATCGGGAAAACAAATATGAACACAACCAAACACCTGACTTTGTTTGATGAACAACCTATGCTGGAAGATCTCAGAAGATACAAAGAGAATGTCCTGGTTGGGTAGGTGAGAATAGGAGAAATGGGGAAAGATGAAATCTGAGGGAGGGAGAGAAAACAGATGGGACAGATGTAATATATTTAAAAAGCAACTTCTTTCTTTGTTATATGATATATAGAAATAGAGAATACAAATGAAAACAAAGGCAGAATCTTGGCAAAGGGCCCAGGAAGGCATCACAAAGGGATGCTGTCCAGATAACCCAAACAGGATGGTTACAAAGAGCAATACACTGGAGGAATGGAATGGATGCTCATCAGAATGCTAATAACTGTACATGAAAGACGATTCTGCAGGCTGAGAATTTTGATGGTGGGGTGCAGGTAGAGGAGGGAGGACATGAACACAAAAGACTGGCTCTCCCAAACCTTCTTTCTGCTCCTCACTGGCTGTCAGTAGCTTTTCTAAGAGCTTAGAGTCCGAAGCTAAAATCAATGGGAGGTAGTGATGTTCAAAAGGAAAGGCAAGACATGCATCCTGAACCACCTTGTAAAAATTCAAATATCAGAATGAGTAGATTTACTTCAAAATGATATTCTTCACAACAAGGCAATTGAGTTGTTGTATTGTGACGTGACGTTTTTCTGGGGTTCTTTCTAGGTGACATAGATGATGAGTTAGCTGATCGTGGTTAGCCCAGATCTGCCTCACTCCTTTTGGTAATGTAAACAAGACAATGACTGAATTTTAAGAAATGCTGGAAAGGCCCCCGTTGTTGGTATTATGAATATCTGACATAAAATCCAGGCTGGGACTAATTTTCTGGGCCCACAGCTAACAAAAAGGAGAGGAAAGGGTACAGGGCTGGATGGAAACAGGGTTTGTGTTGGTCAGCCACACCCTATCACAGAGGAGGAGGAGAAATTATGCATTGGCTTGAATTAAAATGCACCAGCTTGAATTTTAGGGTGACATGGCAAGACTCAAATGCTCTCTATTACATACAGCAAAGACTGTACCTGCTGTTTGTTTTACCACTGCCATAATAGTCTCACTTTTGAAATTCAGAAATATTTCACTTAAGATAATTTGCTGGTAGAGTGAGTGGTGGCTACTTTTTGTCAGTAGAAAGGTCAAACAATTTTCCACAATGCACTGCAATTTTATAGCTGGCAATTTTGCTATAGGCGACCAAAGGAAAGCCCATGATAACGTTATACAACAAAAATTACGTTGTGAGTTAAGGGAATGTGAACAGTAAAGTAGCAGCCTTGTGTGCTATCCCCACTGCTCTTTCTGAAATACACAATCTTGGTGGGTTTTGTTTTTAATTCTTTTTCAGTAAACATGTAAAAGCAATAACCCGTATCTCTCAACAAGGCCTTGTGTAATAGGATGGATGTTTGGGTATAAATGCAAGGTTTTTCTAAGAACTATAGCATGCAACGAAGATTTAGAGTAAGCAAAGAAAGTAAGAAAAAAAGTCGACTAACCTAACCCACCTGAGCTCGGCTCACAGGGATCAATGTCCTCGTCATCGCTGGGACACTCTGCTGAGGCCACAAGGATGTCATCTGTGGTCTGTAAAAAAAGCACATTCAGTCGATTACTTTAAAGGATCCCAGCAGAGCTTCTCATCTTTGTCTCATTGACAAGTGAAATACCTGATACATTGAGAAACCAAATTCAGTACCTATTTCCCTTCCCAAAGACACAGCCTACATTTTTTTTCAACTTACTCTAGATCTCTCATGGAAGTTGCGTGTGAAAACACAGTTAGAGCTTATTTTACAGGAAGGCATGGAAATGGTGGTAGCCAACTCTATAGACACCCACCCCTTCAACAGCACGGAGAAGCTGCACACAGTAGCATCCAGGTTTAAAGCAGCCTGACAGAAACAGATGATTTGGAGTTTATGGCAGCCCTGGAGTGCCACCATGTATGCATCAGTAGGTTTGATGCTATACTTGTACTTGGCTTCCTAAAAGCAGAATAGCTATAACCTTTTACATTCATGGCCAGGTAGAGTTTGATGAATCTTTGTGCTAGAGCTTGCCCTTACTAGGAAACAGGATATGTTTCACTGATGTGAAAAAAGGAAGCAAATACAATCTACTTAGGGTATTTAAAAAATTTTATGTTTAGATTTTATACTGAATTTTTGTTTTTGTTACAATGCGGTAGCAGGTATCACGTCCCCATTGTCTTTTTATCATTAAGGTGTCATGATAAGTGAAAATTGTATTTGGGTGAGGGGGTGGTATTTTACAGTAAGTAGGAAAGAGGTGTCGATTGTCTTTGTGACATTCTCGTTGCTTCATTGCACTTACAGCAAAAAAGACAACACTCACTGTAATAAAAAGCAGAGTGTGTAAATCCTGGCAGTTAGTCACATAATCAACTCATTTACAAGCACTGGAGGTTGTTCTTTACTGCCACTTACAAGCAGCAGTAAACTTAGCACAGTTACTGCACGGAGACTGTGAGGTTTGCATCAGATCTGGCTAATGGCAGCACAGAGAGAATGCAAGGTACAAGAAGGAAAATATCTCATTACCTCGGCTAAGGATTAAGGAGATTATAATTGTTTAGACAATACTCAGAACTGCAACATTAATGAAATCCTTATTTAAAAGTGGAATTAACCTAGGCTGTAGCTATGTATAGTGAAGCATGTTAACTGGACTTATTGTGGTGATCATTATGTTGTATACCTGAAACTAATACTTTATATCAGTTACAACTTATTACAAATTTAAAAAATAATATAAATCTTACAATTTTTTAAAAGGCCAAAATGTAATATGACTTGTTTTCATTAAAACAGTAACTAATACAGTCCAAGATTAAAGCATAAATAAATGTCAAGAAAATTGTGCCATTTTGAAAAATGGAGACAAGGGATGATGCACTTTTGTGACAAAATATTAGGCTTAAAAATCTTTTAAGTGCAGGAGCTTTAATTAAGAATAAAGAATTTGTTCAGATGCTAATTCTTCTTTAATATAACTTCAATTAAATGCAAGCATTTAAATAGCATCGTGAGATGGCTTCATATTATTCTGCTCTCAATTCTTCTGAGACAATTAGGAGACTGGATTCATTCATTTTGCTGCTGTTATTTTAAAAGACCAAGTTCAAAATATCAGTTTTCCTTGAATTGTAACTGTTCACGTTAGTGATAACTACCAGCAATTGGTGTGATCCTTACACAGGTATCTTTCATTAAAGTGAGCTTTAAAGGGGGGAAAAAAATCCTCTTTTTGGCACAAGCACGTCCTGCAGGCTAACATCCAAACTGGCTTGATAACAAGTTATTGGATTATGAGGTCTTGCAGGCCAATTGTTCCAATTTGCCCCAGAGCAAATCACTTGCTTTTTATGGAGCTAATTTCAAATACAAAGATACTTTTTCTAAACCACAGTGGATACTCTTTAAAATTAATTTCAGGGTTACAAGAGTATTTCTCATGTTCCTTGAGGACTGTTAACTACATTAATGCAATCAGTGTAGGGGTGCTATTTTTTTTGTTCTTGATAGGAGGATGTGAGTAAATTATCCAATCTCCTGCTTCTTACCCCAGCAGTGATGTTGACCCATTCCCCTCCGCCGCCTGTGGGACATTTGGCAATGTCTGGAGACATTACATATTGACACAACTGGGGTGGAGGGTGTCAGCTGTCATTGGCATCTCAGAGGTAGAAACCAGGAATGCTGCTGAATGTCCTAAAAGGCACGTGACAGTCCTCCCAAAATGCCAATAGTGCAGAAGCTGGGAAACTCTGATTTAGAAGTTTATCAACTACCCTGCATTTTGTTTTTCTCACCTGAAAAACTGGACAACATAATAGTTCCTATTGTAAGAATTAAATTAGTACACAAAGACCTAAAATAGGACCACGTTGTAATGTTCATAAAAAGTGGCAATATTTTCAATATTGCTATATTTCACAAATGTAGAACCAAATAGATTTTTGTGCTATATTTATAAATAATATAATTTTAGATATTAAACTGGAAGTTGTATGTGTGAATTATACATGTAAGATCTCATGTTAATATGTAATCAAAATATAGTGGCTATATTGGTACTTTGTGGAGCTAAGCTTCCCTCTTTTACTGTCTAGGTTCAAATTCTGAATTAGAAGTCAAACATCAAGTATGCATAATAAAGGCTGCTTCTTAAAAGAAATTCATGGACTGAAAATGTGTGACTCCATGGATAGTGTTTGATGCAGACTAAATTATTTAGCCACACAAGTTTAAGTTCTGTTTTAAAAGTTGACCTATTTTCTACATTCAACAGCCTTTGGGACAATTTAATAGCAAACAGAAAGTGTTAGAATGTTCTCAGTGTTATCTTTCACAAAATATGGTACCTAAAATAACAAAACATGTCATCCATTAAATAGTACCTTCTATAGACCTTTCAAGTAAACAAGCTGTGCAAATATGCCCTTATTGTAAAACTATAATTTAGATTTTAATGTACTTTTCCTGGTATAATGAATATACATTCTTGTTTTTCATGTTTTTCTTCAAAAATTAAAACCCGGCACGGTCTTTTAAAAAGTAACAGTATTGTGAATAAAAGTTTTTAAGTCAGTAGAGGCATTGCAGCAATCATCACTGTATGAAAAAAAATGAAGTGGCTCAAATGTAGGGAAAAAATTAAATTTTATTTTGGAGGCTGAGTTAACAATTTCCTAGCCAAAGCTGTGTAATTTAAATTTAATTCATTGTGTTTAGAACTGTCTCTCTATGGCATGCTGTTGAGAGTGGTAGAAAGAAACTCAAATATATCACATCAATCAGTTCTATTCTTTAGTATACTCTTTGCTGAGGCCTATAACCTTTTTCAGAGAAGAGGCTACCTGCTGAAAGAGACAGAGTAGTGATCAAGCAAAAACATTAGCTTTATATAACTATCCATTGAACCATTCAGAGGCCAAAGTGCCATGCTGATCTTCCCCAATTCAGAGTGGTCTGAACATTCACATGGCATCTGTTCTTGCCCAGAATGTCTAGTAAAAATACTGAGGTCTCCCTACCTGTAAGGAAAAAATGACCAGGGCAGAATTCAAGAAATAATGGCACTGAAACTTAATTCATTATATTCAATGGATAAACACCAATACATTATAGGCTAGAAAAATGTAATCAGGATGGGGCAGAAAGGATGTTCTTAATGTAGAGTAAGAAGTTAGACCAGTCAGATGGGTATACTAGATTTATTGGGGTGATCACTTCATAAGTATATAAATGTCCAATTAGTATGTTGTATATCTGAACTAATAATGTTGTATACCAACTGTAATTGAAAAATAATTTTAGAGAAACAGACCAATTTATTTAATGTCCAGGATTATTAGAAAGAGATCATTTAGTAGGTTAGAAAGTAGATGTAGTTTACTTTTTTCTCACTTATAAGGAGTCTTTCCCTTCCCCCCTTTAATGGTGAAATTTGCTGCACATTCACTTGCTATCACTTTTTAAAATATAGCACAATTGGGTATCAGTGTGGTAAAAAATACGATAAGCAGATACATAAACTTAGTCTGAAATATTATATCTCTGATAACAACAGCACTCTTCGACTTTTTCCTCATGCTAAATGGCTTCCCTGGTGACTGATATATTCCTATGAACACACCTACAATTCAACTGTAGAAAGGACATTCGAAATCCAAATGCTTTCTACAGAGCAACTCCAATTGTAGAAAGGACGCCCATTATAAATGTGGTGTCCACAAAGAAATCCTTGATTTGCTCTAAAACTTCTATTGAAGCTGTTTCTAAACAGAAATAGTCTATTTGGCTATGCATCCAAAAAAAAGAAAAATATTTTCTGAAGCAATGGTGCTTATTTACATATTATTTAGCCTAATTGTTCACTGCTGTGAATGACATTTAGACTGAATTGATTGAGAAAACTGATGGATAGAGATGATGCTAGCTGAAATGTGACGTTTGGCTAATTGATGGACACTTGTTCTTGATGATACTTTTGTTTATATGAAGCTGCTCTGAATGAGAGAGAGAGAGCGCATTATGTCTGCCTTACAGGACTGAATCTGACAGTCTTTCCAGAAAACATTTATTGCTAGGTGTGTTTCCCTGAAAAAAAGGTGCCAGGATTCAGAATTAGTGTTACAAATTCCCCAAGGTAGGTCTGACCCACTACATAGACGATCTATGAGGCAAGACATTTCTAGGAGGTATGGAAAGTCACAATTTTGATCTAGAGGAAAAACTGTACCCCCTCAAAAAATGCAATTATAATAAATATATACAAGTTCAAGTTCCAAACAGTGGACCAATTTGATCAAATCAATTCAATAAAGAAACTTATCAAATTGATAATTTTAGTTAATCAACAATGCTATTAAAAGTGCAAAGGAATGTGCAGATAGACCCTGTGGTAGTTTCCATTGTCTCATTCAAGCTTTTGGTTCTTATTTATCAATTGTTCATTTTTTTTTCTGAGTAGTAGATGCCACATAAAGCCATCAATCACATGGCTCCATAATCTAATTAAAATAAAAATAATAAACTTATATCTACTTTGTGAAGGATGAA